TGCTGGGATCCAGCGGGGCACTCCCCTCACAACCCCGGCATCGCGCTTTCGAACCCTCCCCACTGCTTTACCCCGCTTTGGCCTCAGAAAAGCCAGACAGGCTTGGCCCTTGTGAGCGTGGGCCGCCGGGTCACCTCTGTTTTGTTGTCAGAGGCTGGCCATGGCACCGCTCCGCGATGGGCAGCGCTGCAGCCCTCCAGCCAGCGGCACGCTCTGTGCCTCGCGCTCCCCATGCCCAGGGCGGCACTGGCCCGCGGGATCCAAGCTGCGATCTGGCAGCGAGGCCTGGGCCCTTCCAGCCAGGCTGTCAGACCCGGAGCCGTGACCCCGGAACCGGCTGCCCTAGGATCTCTGCGTCCCAGTCTCCGGAGGGATAATATTGCGGGGCTTCATCTGCGACTCTGCCCCACCCCCTGCATCCCAGAGACGCCCCTCGGCAGGCCCCAGGCCTGTTCCACTCAGCGGGGAGGGGAGGGCGGAAGCAGAGGCAGAGGGCAGATCCCGACAGAGCTGGCGAGTGAAATCCGAGCAGTGACTGGAAGGGGGTGGGGCGGCCCTGCCAGCGGAGAGGCAGGTTTGCACAGTCCCACGCATCAAGCAGCCCCTGCTCCGAGCCCCACCCGCCCCCTTCGGCCCCAGGGCTAGCGGAGGTGCCGGCAGAGGAAGCGCTCGGCCCCCTCTCACCACGAGGGCTCCTTGGCCGGCGGCGGCGAGCCGAGCCGTGGTGCATCTGCTCCGCGTGCCCCGGCTTGCCCAGGAGGGCGGCGGCGGCAGGGCCCGCGGGGCTTGGAGGGCCCTGGGCCCCACTTGCAAGCAGGACCGCACAAGCGAAGGGCTCTGCCAGGGCGCTGCACATCTGCTCCTCATCAGCCCGGGGAAACTGTCACTCGGCCAAACTTGACATTTTGACTCAAGAGGGAGAGGGAGGGAGACTGGAGCTGCCTGGACGGGGAGAGGAGCTTGATCCAGGGGGGGGAGGGGATTTCTGCTTTCACAGCCCCTGGGCTGCCCCACGGCCGCCCCAC